TCCGCTTACATTAGATGAAGGTCATGAAGTGCATTGTTCATTCGGAGAAGAATATTTGCAGTGAACATATTCTTTTATTTCTCACTGTTACTGCAATGACAAATTCTGTACACAGTCATGAAAAGAGAGAAGATGTCTCAGATTAGTTTTACTATGCAGGTAATTCTTCACTATCGTAAAAGCAGCATGATCTAATACATGGCACCATAATCAATTGTACACATTTCCCCTCTCTTTTTTCTATTTCATATTAATGCTAATGGAAAAACCTTATTTGCATACAATTAAATTAATCTTTCTGATGAGTCTTTCAAAACGAAAAATGAAGAAGTCTTCTTCGCTGCATCAAAAGTTCCTGACTAAATAGTTCAGCAATCTGAACATAATGTTTGTTCCATGTAAGCATAAAAGAAAAGGTGGATTTCATATGTTCATATACAGTATGTTAAAAAAAGGTTCAAACAATATGAGTGACAGCTTTGCCAAAATAACCAAAGTGTGTCACTGCATCCCCAAATACAAGTTTAAACTGTTCCATGCAAAAACAAAGTTATACATTTACTGCACACATCAATAAACTTGCTCGTTCAACTGCACATGAACACAAATATTTAATCAGCCAATCACATGGCAGCAACTCAGAGCATTTAGACCTGCAGACATGGTCAAGTCAACCTGCTGAAGTTTAAAGCGAGCATCATAATAGGGAAGAAAGTGGATTTCAGTTAAAGTTACAATGAACATGATGTGATTATTTGTGCCAAAGAAGACCACACTGGATGCCATTCTTATCAACAGATCAAGAAACTGAGGGAGCAGTTTGCACTACATAGTTTGGACAACTGAAGACTGGAAAATGCTGTCAGTTCATATTATTCTTGAGTTCTGCTGCCATACTTGGATGGCAGGGACATGATGCCAGATGTTAGAATTGGGTATAGACAACATGAAAGGATGGATCGATCCTTCCTTGTATCAACAGTTCATGGTGCTGCTGGTGGTGTAATGGTGTGGGGGATATTTCATGGAAATGTTTGTGACCCTCAGCACCAACTGAGCATCCTGAGTATTGCTGTTGACTATATGCAACTCGTCATGACTGTTTTAATCTTCTAATTCCTGATTCCAGCAGGAACACCCACCAAGTGTGCGTTCAAATAACCTCATACTATTATATTTACATGACAAGCTCAATGTGCTCAAAAGGCTTCCACAGCCACCACAGCCTAAATCCACCAGACCAGCTTTGGGATGTGGCTGAACTGGAGGTTTGTCTTTATGAATGTGCTGCCACCAAATCTACAGCAACTGCACGATGCTATCACGTCAGCATGGAACCAGAATTTCAATTCAATTCATTCAATTCATTTTATTATATAGCACCAAATCACAACAACAGTCACCTCAAGGTGCTTTATATTGTAAGGTAGAAGAGAAAAACAATCATATGACCCCTATGAGCAAGCACTTTGGCGACAGGGCGAAGGAAAAATCCCTTTTAACAGGAAGAAACCTCCGGCAGAACCAGGCTCAGGGAGGGGCGGGGCCATCTGCTGCGACCGGTTGGGGTGGGAGAAGGAAAAGGATAAAGACATGCTGTGGAAGAGAGACAGAGATTAAAAACAAGTAAGATTCAATGCAGAGAGGTCTATTCACACATAGTGAGTGAGAAAGGTGACTGGAAAGGAAAAACTCAATGCATCATGGGAATCTCCCAACAGCCTACATCTATTGCAGCATAACTAAGGGAGGATTCAGGGTCACCTGGTCCAGCCCTAACTATATGCTTTAGCAAAAAGGAAAGTTTTAAGCCTAATCTTAAAAGTAGAGATAGTGTCTGTCTCCTGAATCCAAACTGGAAGCTGGTTCCACAGAAGAGGGGCCTGAAAACTGAAGGCTCTCCCTCCCATTCTACTTTTAAATACTCTAGGAACAACAAGTAGGCCTGCAGAGCGAGAGCGAAGTGGTCTAATAGGGTGATATGGTACTACAATGTCATTAAGATAAGATGGGGCCTGATTATTTAAGACCTTGTATGTGAGGAGCAGGATTTTGAATTCAATTCTGGATTTAACAGGAAGCCAATGAAGGGAAGCCAAAACAGGAGAAATATGCTCTCTCTTTCTAGTCCCTGTCAGGACTCTTGCTGCAGCATTTTGGATTAGCTGAAGGCTTTTCAGTGAGTTTTTAGCACATCCTGATAATAATGAATTACAGTAGTCCAGCCTAAAAGTAATAAATGCATGAACTAGTTTTTCAGCGTCACTCTGAGACAGGATATTTCTAACTTTAAAGATGTTGCGCAAATGGAAGAAAGCAGTCTTACATATTTGTTTAATATGTGCGTTGAAGGACATCCCTGGTCAAAAATGACTCCAAGGTTCCTCAGTGTTACTGGAGGCAAAAGTAATGCCATCCAATCTGGTTAGATACCATATGTCTAAGATTTTCAGGGCCGAGTACAATAACCTCAGTTTGATCTGAATTAAGAAGCAGAAAGTTAGCGGCCATCCAGGTCTTTATGTCTTTAAGACATTTCTGCAGTTTAACTAATTGGTGTGTGTTATCTGGCTTCATGGACAGATAAAGCTGAGTGTCATCAGCATAGCAGTGAAAATTTATGCTATGTCTTCTGATGATACTGCCTAAGGGAAGCATGTATAATGTAAACAGAATTGGTCCCAGCACTGAACCCTGTGGAACTCCATAATTAACCTCAGTGTGTGAAGAAGACTCTCCATTTACATGAACAAACTGGAGTCTATTAGATAGATATGATACAAACCACTGCAGTGCAGTACCTGTAATACCTACAGCATGTTCTAATCGCTCTAATAGGATATTATGGTCAACAGTATCGAATGCTGCACTGAGGTCTAGCAGGACAAGCACAGAGATGAGTCCACTGTCAGAGGCCATAAGAAGATCATTTGTAACCTTCACTAAAGCTGTTTCTGTGCTGTGATGAGCTCTGAAACCTGACTGAAACTCTTCAAATAAACCATTCCTCTGCAGATGATCTGTTAGCTGTTTGACAACTACTCTTTCAAGGATTTTTGATATGAAAGGAAGGTTGGAGATTGGCCTATAATTAGCTAAGACTGCTGGGTCTAGAGATGCTTTTTGAGTAAAGGTTTAACTACAGCCAGCTAGAAGGCCTGTGGTACATAGCCGATTATTGGAGATAGGTTGATCATATCTAAGATTGAAGCATTAATTAATGGCAGGACTTCTTTGAGCGGTTTTGTAGGAATGGGGTCTAAAAGACACGTTGATGGTTTGGAGGAAGTAATTATTGAAGTTAACTCAGAAAGATCAACTGGAGAAAAAGAGTCTAAATGAAATCAGTGGTACTAAGAGTAGCTGTATATAATATTACATCTGTGAGATAGTTATGGGTAATTTTTTCTCTAATGATTAAATTTTTATTTGTGAAGAAGTTCAAGACGTTATTACTAGTTAACATTAAAGGGATGGTTGGCTCAAAAGAGCTCTGACTTTTTGTCAGCCTGGCTACAGAGCTGAAGAGAAACCTGGGGTTGTTCTTATTTTCTTCAATCAGTAATGAATAGTAAGATGTTTGGCTTTGCGGAGGGCTCGCTTGTAAAGCAACAAACTATTTCTCCAGGCTAAATGATGATCTTCAGCATTTCCTCGCCAACGTACGAGTTATCTGCTTTAGGCTACGTGTTTGTAGTCATGGAGTGAAGTACTTCTCATTTGAGGCCTTAGTTTTCATAGGAGCTACAGTATCCAGGGTCGTACTTAGTGAGGAGGCAAAGTTATTAACAAGATAATCAACCTCTGTTGGAGTAGCGTTCAGATAGCTGCTCTGCTCTGTGTTGGTACATGGCATTGAAGATGATAACAGTGGTAGGATTATATTCTTAAACTTAATTACAGCATTTTCAGAAAGACATCTTTGTGATTAGATCTACTCTCCACTGCTGTGTAATCAATTATTGCAAATGTAAATGTTATCAGGAAATCATCAGACAGGAGACGGTTTTCAGGAAACACTGTTAAATGTTCAGTTTCTATGCCGTATGTTAAAATAAGATCTAGAGTGTGATTAAAGTGGTGGGTGGGTTCTTTTACATTTTGAGAGAAGCCAGTTGAGTCTAATAACAGATTAAATGCCACGTTGAGGCTGTCATTTTTAGCATCTACATGGATGTTAAAATCACCCACAATAATTATTTTATCTGAGCTGAGCACTAAACCAGATAAAAAAAAAGTCCAAGAAATCAGACAGAAACTCTGTGTTAGGTCCAGCTGGACGATAGATGATAACAAATAAGACAGTTGGGGTTGAGTTTGACAAGGCTAAGCATCAGGCTTTCAAATGAATTAAAAGTCTGTCTTGGTCTTTCGTTAATTAAGAGGCTGGTGTGAAAACTTGCTGCCACACCGCCCGCGCGGCCTGTGGTTCGAGATTTCTGGTAGTTAGAGTGACTCGGGGGTGTTGATTCATTTAAACTAACATAATCATACTGGATCTCTAAGTAATGTTTGCAGCACCTGTTGCAGGTAAAAGTTGGTCCAACACAGTAAGGCATAGCAACTAAAGACTCCTGTAAGTGCACAGAGTATGATATTGAACAGTGGTGTACATTAATGAGTCCACGAAGAAAAACAAATAAAAAATAGCATCAGTAACAATATTAATAATAATAAACCTTCTGTCACTTTAAGAGATAACGTGCAGTCATTTTCTGAAGGTGTGAATTTGTGTCACCATTTGCTGTGTTGTGCTTTGAACCATTTTCTGGCAGTCTAGATTTAGGGCAGACTCCTGATAAAGATCAGATTTGGGGACGTACAGGAAGCAACATCTTTTTTTCCCTTTTCTGTTCTCATCAATAGGGGACTGCAGAACTTTTGATAGTTAGTTCATTTCTGCACATCTAAAGGGATCACATCAGTAAACGGGGAAAGGGAGCCTTGAAGTGTAATTCCTGACTGGACCTGGTTGGATGAGCCATCACTGAGATATCACAATGTCAGGTAATTATCTTTCAACATTAATCCACAATTTAGACTATTTAAAGTGTCATTTTTTTACAGAGTTCTTGGGAATTTACTTGGGTTATAAAGTGTAGTGTTCAAAGCTGCACGCATTGTCACAGAGATCTAAAACCAAATGCTGTGACTGAAACTATGTCAAAGTTACTTCATGATTTCTAATTTCATCTTTAATCTAGAGATCTTATTTTTACTGTTGTTTTTTATTAGTAGATGAAAACATATAAAAGTTATTCACTGCCACAATGCCTTAATATGACTTTTACAGCTGCTGTTATCTCCAACCATGTATCTGTTACTTTCAGAATAATTCTAATAGTAATTTTGTAAAATCCCAGTAATAGTATAGAAAAATTTCAAATGTGCCAAAAAAACACAGCAAAAAACAAGTCTACATGAAAAATCATAATAAGATAGATAAACAAAGTAAATGAAATAGTCTGTCCTAGATTTATAGCTGTATACCATGTAATGAATTTGAATCCTCATAAAACCAGTTTTCAGATTAAATCCTGTTTTTATAAAGTTTTGGCTCAATGATAATGTTCCCAAGGACGGAGTACCAATGAGCACCAATAGGTGGCAAAATCAGCCCCACTGTCAACTCCCTGGGGGGCCAAACCAGCAGACGTGTATGGATTATTTGTGGTGCTCATAGCAAAGGAAAACCTCCTTTAAAACAGAAACATGTCATCAGCAATAGGTTGGAAATTCAGGCTGCACTTGATAAGGGTTGAAACGGCATTACGAAACCAAACCTAACACTTTGATGCAATGAGCATTCAAAAATAAATCCAGTTAACCTCTAACCGTAGCATGTGTTTAAAGCAGTAAAGAAGTCTTTGATATACTGTTTTGCATCTTATTTGTTGTAGCCTGTGCTGAAATTAATATAAAAAATAATAATAGTAAATCTTTCTGTCTCTTTCTGCAGAAGAAAACACCACATACTATGATTACCTATACTTCTATGAGCTTTCTAACAACAACTCTGAGAACGACACAGGATTTACTCCTACCTACATGGGTGATGTAAAGGACTTTAACAAAGTGTTTCTCACCACTCTCTACAGTTTGGTTTTCATCCTGGGCTTCATAGGTAGGTGTGTCCTCTTGTGTGTATGCTGTGGAGATTATGGATTGTTACTACACATTGCACAGACCTCCTTTTCTGGGAATTTTCAACTTGCTGACTTTTAACTATGTATGCAGGTGTGTGTATGTGACACACACAGATGAAACGGGAAAGAGAGAATGTTGTTCAACATGTAACAGTGTGACATTTACACTTATTGCGTTTTGTCTCCCAAAGGTAACGGACTAGTGGTGTGTGTCCTGGTGAAGCACCGCAATCAGTGCAACCTGACAGACATCTGCCTCTTCAACCTGGCTCTCTCTGACCTCCTCTTCGTCTTCATGCTGCCATTCTACTCTCACTATGTCAGGGTTGGCCAGTGGACTTTTGGAGACTTCATGTGCCGTTTGATCTCCGGCTCTCACCACATTGGCTTCTTCAGCAGCATCTTCTTCATGGTTGTCATGACGCTGGACCGCTACATGATCATCGTGCACGCTCACAGGGTTGCACGTTATCGCACAAAGAGGGCTTCCATCATTCTGACCGTGCTCGTTTGGATGCTGAGCTTGTTTGTGTCTCTGCCGGATTTTATCTTCAGAAAGGCAAAAGAACAGGAATCCCAAGGAGTGCAGTGTGACTATCCTGAGGAGAGCAAAGTCTGGGAGCGTTATGATTTGTTCACCACAAATGTGCTGGGTCTCGTGATTCCCGTGCTGGTGATGGCAGGTTGCTACTCCAGGATCATCCCCACACTGATGAGCATGAGGACAGCAAAGAGGCACCGCATCGTCAAGCTGATCATTTGTATAGTGGTTGTATTTTTCTTACTCTGGGCCCCGTATAACATTTCCCTTTTCCTGGAGTTCCTCCTGGACAAAGAAATAATCCCTGATGATCAAACCTGGTACAAAATGTAAAGCTGTCAATAAAAGTGACCGAAGCCTTAGCTTACACTCACTGCTGTCTGAACCCTATCATATATGCTTTTGTGGGAGAGAAGTTTATGAGACGAGCCTTGCAGCTGCTGAAAAAGTTGGCCTGGTTACAGCAGAGATCTGACAGACAGCTCATTCAGGAGGAGCTCAGTTATGTCCAGGGGCTCTGAAATCACCTCCTCCTTTAAACTGTAGGAGGTGGAGGGCAGTTGTAAGTATTTTGTCGCGGACCGTGCCATGGACAAGTGAACTGAATCATTTCTTTAACAGGTTTGATTCATCCAGGATGCAGTATCCAACATGGGTTGCAGTCTCACCCAGAATCTTAATCACCTTCGACTCTAATGCTCTTCCTTCTTCTGCTCAGGTTAAATTAAACCTGCTGATCTGTTAAACCGTACCTGCTGTTTTATAGCAACCTGTAACAGTTTGCTTACTTCTTCAGACATCTTTTTTGAGCCTTACATGTTTGCAGAAACACACCAAAAGAGCATAAAACTATTTTAGATCTTGATGTGCACACTGTCTTACTGTTATTCACATTTCTACCTACTTCCACATTGTTTTTTAATGTTCAGCCTTTTATATGTGTGTGTGTGTGTGTGTGTGTGTACATATACATATAGATATAGATATATATATAGAGAGAGATATATTTTGTTGTATTATGTTATGGTTCCTTGTATTTGTCGCTACTTGCCTGTGGAGTTGACTCCTATCCTGATTTTGTATTATCGCTTTGTTAAGACAATAAATGTTACAGCAGGTCCTCTGCTTACATTAGATGAAGGTCATGAAGTGCATTGTTCATTCGGAGAAGAATATTTGCAGTGAACATATTCTTTTATTTCTCACTGTTACTGCAATGACAAATTCTGTACACAGTCATGAAAAGAGAGAAGATGTCTCAGATTAGTTTTACTATGCAGGTCATTCCTTACTATTGTAAAACAGCAGCATGATCTAACACATGGCACCATAAGTGGTGCAAAGACCTACAATAAAGATGCCATCAATTGTAAACATATTCAAGTAAAATGAAGGTCTGAAGTTCCTGATAAGCTGTACTGAATATACAGTCAGTTTATTCAAGAAGTATATGTGAAAGAACAAAAAATAAACTCTTCATTTGCAAATATTTTCGCCTCTCTTTTTTCTATTTCATATCAATGCTAATGGGAAAAAACTACACCACCTCCTTGGCGTGGGGAATGTGAGTTTCAGGACAAACAAGAAAAAGCCCATTATTTGCATACATTTTAAAAAGGAAAAAGGACATGATGGGTCTTTCAAACAAAAAAGTGGAAAAGTCTTTGACGCTGCATCAAAAACTACCTGACTAAAAAGTTCAGCAATCTGAACACAATGTTTGTTCCATGTAAGCATCAAAGAAAAGGGGGATTTCATATTTTCAAAAATAAGATGAGATAACCTTTATTAGTCTCACACGTGGGAAATTTGTTGTGTCTCAGCAGAAAGTGGACAGTGCAAAGCTACAGGAGAAAAAAAACCCCACTGCAATAGGATAAGATAAGATAATAAGAATTGGGGGGGGGGGTTCTCTATCTATCTAATCTTCCATTAAAATGGGCCCAGTGTCTCATGTGTGTAGGTGTGATACAGCATAAGGCCCACTTGTAGTGCACATGTCACAAGTAACGCGTTACTGTAATCTGATTTTTTCAAGTAACGAGTAAAGTAAGGGATTACTATTGCAAAATCGGTAATTAGATTACCGTTACTTTCCCGTAGGAACGCTGCGTTACTGCGTTACTAAAACCGTGAGTTTTTTGCGAGAATGTCTCATGACAGTGACGTAACCAAGTGCGACGTTCGTGACAACAGCTGTGGATAATATATCGAGTGCGGGAGAGAGTATGAGTGTGCAGCGTTTAAAGCGTGGAAATTCACAGAGAAACTCGCGGATTCTTCCACTGACCGCTGCAGCACACCTGCACCAGGGTAAACCTCCACCCACCCTACTCCTGCTTTACAGGTGAAAACAGAGCAACAGGACCGCTGAGTCTTTGATTTTATTTATTTCCTGCTGTGTTTTACTTGCATCTATTTGAAAGAGTGAGTGTAAACACAAAAAAATATTTTATTTTATGTGCTGGAATGTGCAGAAAATAGGTTTAAATATTAAACAAATTTCTTCCAGTCAGAGAATGTTGCATATAATTAAATTTTTGCTTCATGCATAAAGTTAAAAGGTTAAAACTAATAAAACAAGTTAAAAAAGAGACTTTTCCATTTGATTACATTTTGTATGATGGATTTGTTAGGGTTCCGAAAGAGACTCAGGCGCAGGCCAGGGTTTTCCTTTAAGCGAAGGACAGTGCGTTTATTTACAGTGAACACATACACCAAGTGGCTATATACAACGTGCAGGGGAAACGGGTCCGGGTCGCCAGGGTCCGTGGGAAACAGGGTTGGGAGAAGGGTGTTCCACACTTTCTGTACAAAACGTTCCCCCTTCAATCACTCCTCTCCGCATCGGGTTCCAAAAACGATCTACAACAAAACGTCGGGTTAGCAGGATAATAATAAGAAATTCTCAAGGTGAAGGTTAGCCGAAACACAAGTCTAACTGACACTGATAGCTCAACGATCCAGCGAAGACTAGTGCAGACTCGCCATCTAAGTAGTGCAGTAATCAGCTGGGATCAGCGGCCGGTGTGGTGATGAGCAGGTGTGTGGGCCAGCAGCGGGAGCCCGCAGTGAGCATCGCCGTGGCGAGAGAGAGAGAGAGTGAGAGAGAGAGGGCGAGAGAGCAAACAAACCACAAACATATTGCCCAATAGAGGATTGACCAGCGGGGCACAGGGACCATGACCCACCAGGCTTACCAGGATGAGACAGATGGAAGGCCCGCAGCATACGCTTGTCCAGGACAGCGGCCCGCGGAACCCAGGACCGCTCCTCAATGCCATAGCCCTCCCAGTCCACAAGGTACTGGAAGCCACGCCCGCGGCGGCGAGAGTCCATAATCCGCGTGATGGAATAGGCGGGCAAGCCGTCCACAAGCCGGGCGGGCGGAGGGGGCCCGGAAGGAGGGCACAGAGGGCTATTCCGGACAGGTTTGATTTGGGAGACGTGGAACACATTGTGAATCCTCATGTTGCGCGGCAGCCGGAGTTTCACAGAGACGGGGTTGATCAGCGCCGAAACCTCAAAGGACCAATGAAGTTTGGGTTGAGCTTCTTGGACTCAGTCCTGAGAGGAACAAAGCGTGGACAGCCATACCTTTTGTCCCACGCTGTATGCTGGAGCTGGTGTGCGGCGGCGATCTGCGGTCTGTTTGGTTCGGTCCTTTGTGCGCAGCAACGCCGTCCGTGCGGCCCGCCAAGCTCGTCGGCACCTACGTAGATGGGCCTGGACAGATGGTACAGAATACTCACCCTCGACAGAGGGGAAGAGAGGTGGCTGGAAACCCAGTGAGACCTCGAAGGGAGACAGACCAGTGGCGGAGGAAGTCAGACTGTTATGGGCGTACTCAATCCAGGGTAGTTCATCACTCCAGATGGACTGGTTGGAGGACGCTGTGCACCGCAACATTGCCTCGAGCTCTTGGTTAGCTCGCTCACACTGACCGTTGCTTTGGGGATGGTAACCGGAGGTCAGACTGACCTTTGCTCCTAATGAGGAGCAGAATTCCTTCCAGACGCCAGACGTGAACTGGGGGCCTCTGTCAGACACAATGTCTTCCGGGATCCCATGCAAACGAAACACATGACGGGTAAGCAGTCGTGCGGTCTCCATGGCCGTGGGAAGCTTGGGTAGAGCTATGAAGTGGGCAGCTTTAGAAAAACGGTCTACGATGGTAAGTATGACAGTGTTGCCTGCTGATTGCGGCAGTCCGGTTACAAAGTCCAAAGCTATATGGGACCACGGCCTGGACGGAGTCGGCAGGGGATTGAGCTGTCCAGCGGGCGGCTGATGAGACGGTTTATTCCGGGCACAGGTCGCGCAGGCGGAGACGTACTCCCGAGCGTCTTTAGTCAGAGAGGGCCACCAGAAGTAGCGCTGGAGGAAGTTGATAGTGCGGTGGACCCCTGGGTGGCACGTAAAGCGGGCAGTGTGGGCCCATTGAAGTACTTGAGAACGTACTGATTGAGGGACGTAGAGCCGTTGGGCTGGCCCACCTCCCGGATCCGGTTCCGACACCTGAGCCTCCCGAATGGCTGCTTCGATCCCCCAGGAGATGGCGCCCACGACACAGGTGGCGGGGAGAACGGGAGCGGGCTCAGTGGTGTCCTCTGAGACTGAGAACTGACGGGACAGGGCGTCGGGTTTGACATTCCGGGAACCGGCTCTGTAAGAGATGGAGAAGTGGAAACGGGTGAAAAACAGGGCCCACCTGGCCTGTCGAGCGTTGAGCCTCTTAGCTGATTGTAGGTATGCCAGGTTCTTGTGGTCTGTCCAGACGAGGAAAGGCTGAGCCGTGCCCTCCAACCAGTGCCGCCACTCCTCCAGGGCTAGTTTTATCGCCAGCAGTTCCCGATCCCCGACATCATAGTTTCTCTCTGCAGGGGACAGACGGCGGGAGAAGAAGGCACAAGGGTGGAGCTTACCGTCCTTCCGTTGCGACAGAACCGCTCCAACCCCTGAGTCGGACGCGTCGACCTCGACCACAAATGGCTGCGTGAGGTCGGGTTGGATCAGGATGGGGGCTGAGGCGAATCGTTTCTTCAGTTCTTGGAAAGCTGCCTGAGCTTCTTTGTTCAACTGAAAAGGAAGCTTGGGAGAGGTTAGCTGGGTCAGCGGCAAGGCAACTCGGCTGAAGTCCCGAATGAACCGCCGGTAAAAGTTGGCAAACCCAAGGAAACGTTGCAGTTGGTGCCTATTAGGAGGTTCCGGCCACTCAACAACGGCTTTTACCTTCACAGGGTCCGGGCGGAGGTTTCCTTGGTCGATTATGTACCCCAGGAATGCAACGGTGGAGACGTGGAACTCACACTTTTCTCCTTTGACGAACAATCGGTTTTCGAGGAGTCGTTGCAGGACCTGTCTGACATGGGTCTCGTGCTCGGATTGGTTTCTGGAAAAGATCAGGATGTCATCTAGATAGACAAAAACAAAACGGTTAATGAAGTCTCTGAGCACGTCGTTCACCAGGGCTTGGAACACCGCAGGGGCGTTAGTGAGACCAAAGGGCATGACAAGGTAC